GTTTTATATAAAATGTAATAGAAAAAGGAATTCATCTTTTTTTTACCTCGAGGTTTTCCTTCCACTTTCTCCCCCCACTAATTTAATACGTGAAATTCTTTTTGTTTACATTATGTGATGTAATGTTTTTTACTTCTCGCTATTTATACTTCTATTTTATTTACTCTATGAATGAAATGTAACGTAGCAAATTTCACATCGCTATAAAAATACAAACAAAAAAAAAACGACCGGTAATGATGATGATGATTACGACGGTTACGTTTATAAATTTAAAATATGGCGCGCGGATATTTATCATCATCATCATCATCGTTTACGTGTAATTATTATTATTTTTTTTACGTTATATATTAAAACAATAAAATTTAACGTAATTAAAATGATTATATTAAATTAATGAATGAAAAAAAAAAAGAAAAACCGGTTTTCAAGATGGCAGCCAAGCTTTCGACATGGAATTTTTTTTTTTTTACATGTTTTAAACTGGAATGTTAATGAAGACGCCGGATGTTATGTAAAAAAAATAATTATTTATTTATTAATTTTTAAATTTAAATTTTTTTTTTTTGAATAATAATAATAATAATAACGCTCGTGCGTACTTTTTTTTAAAAATAGTTCGTAGTAAATATTTATTCGTTACGGTAAATTTTTTTTACGGCGTATTAAAAAAAAATAAAAGAAATTTTTCAACAACAACGAGTGTGGGCTTTAAATTAAATAATAATAATAATGATGATGATAATAAATTTTTTTTCGGTTCTGGAAGGTTACCTTTTGTTATAAAACGAAACGAATTTACCACGAATGATAAAAAAAGTTAATCAGGCGTTTATTGGATTCCATAATAATTAAAACGAAAAGAACGAACGTTTAAAATTCGTCATGGTGTGACGTCACTTAAAAAATAATTTTCATCCCCCCCTTTTTTTTTTTTTTGACATTCCTGTGCGTCGGTTTTCGGTAGGGAGAGGTGGGGAAGGGGAAAGGATTCATTTCATATCCATAAGTTTAACCCATTTTGATCGGACGAAGGGGAAGGGAGAAAGGAAGGAAGGAAGTTTTTAGTTTCCCTTATAAGAAGTGATGGAAGTTCTTTTTTAATATATCCTTTTCATTAACTCGACCCCACGCCATTTTCCCTTTTTTTTTTTTTTATGGGTTTTCAAGGGGTTGATGTCGATTAAATAAAATTTAAAATGGTTCGGCAAAAAAAAGAAATATTTTAAAAGAAACGAAATTTAAAAA